CCTAACGCTGCTCCTCTATAGGGTACATTGAGGGTTGTCACCCCAGGACAGGAAGTGCTTCGAGTACGATCACCGGGTGATAATAAAGGAAAAGATAGAAAACAAATGCAGGCGCCACATCGAAAGACGGGGAGTCTGCAGCGTATGAAATTCATGTTTTGGGGTTTAGACAAACTTTATTAGTACTCATTCAGTCTGCATTAACGTTGCCAGTATGGTGAGACTACGAACTCCACCCATCATCAACATACCACTTCCGGGTGCATCTACAGTTTTTAATACTTCATCATCTGTACCCCACAGACAGGACAGTTATGGGCGGAATGGTTCTACGAAACCCCACCCTCAGCTTGCCAGCAGCGGGCATGAGGTTCCTTTTCTTTCTGAAACCTTTCCCGCACCAGTGCACGGAAAAGGCTTACTTGCCCCTGCGAGGCCTCTGCTGTATAAGAAGCTCGTCTCTCCATATGAAGAACTTTCCACACTCTGAACAGGTAACCGCTTCTCACCGGTGGAACTTTTTATACATCCGTTGAGTCCTCTACTGTAGGAACGTTTCCCACACTCGCAACATTGCAAAGGCTTCTTTTCCGCATATGAGTCCTCTGGTGTCTAAAGAGTTCCGACTTACTAATAAATGACTTCTTGCACTCTGAACATGGAAAGATCTCCTTCCCGACGTGACTTCTCTGATGTATCCTCAGCTCAGACTTCCTTTTGAAGGGCATCCCGCACTCCAGACAGGAGAATAAAGCCGGGTCCATGTGAATCTTCTGATGCCGGTCGAGGTTCATTTTCCGTGTGAAGCGTTTCCCGCACTCTAAGCAGGAAAACGGCTGCTCGCCGGTGTGGAATCTCTGGTGGTTGATGAGTGTAGATTTGTGAGTGAAGCTTTTCCCGCACTCGAGGCAGGCAAACGACTTCTCGCCGGTGTGGAGCTTCAAATGGATATTGAGGTGACCTTTATGTGAGAAACGTTTTCCGCACTCGGAACAGGAAAAGGGCTTCTCGCCGGTGTGAATCCTCTGATGCCTGATAACATGCGCTTTGCTGATGAACGACTTCTTGCACTCTGCACATGAGAAAGGAGTGTCCCCCGCGTGAACGCGGCGATGGGCCTTCAGGCGATCTTTCCGTTTAAAGCACTTCCCGCACTCCGAACACGAAAAGGGATGCTCCACGGTGTGACTCGTTTCATGCCTTTCGAGATGCGATTTTGTAGCGAAGCTTTTCCCGCACTTCGAGCAGGAATAGGGCCGGATCCCGACGTGGACGTTTTTATGTCTGACGAGGTTGGATTTTGTTTGAAAACACTTCCCGCACTCTGAGCAGACAAAAGAGCGATTCTCGCCGTGGGTTTGCTGATGTAAGAGAGACGGGTGAATTATTGCGAAGCACTGATTGGAGGAAGAGTTTGTAAATATCCCATCGCCTCCATGTAGGGCAGCGTGTGACTTCTCTGGAGAAGGACCCTCGGGGGCGGGGAGATCCAGGGGCCCATTCAAAATGTAAAATCCCAGGCGGATATTCGAGGAAGTGGTATCTAATATACCGGAAGATTCCACGGGGTGAGGGGGAGCCGATGCTTTTCCCGCACTGGAAGGCCCGAGGTAGATACTTGGATTCAAGTTTTCTAATGGAGAAAATTGTCCTCTAACGTCATCTTCTGTACGTGGAGAGGAGACGACTCGGCCCATCGAGGTCTTCCAGACATTGGGGGCATCTGCGGGAGAGACGTGTTCATTAATACAACCCAGCCAACGATGGACCACAATGTCCCCACACCAAGACCATGAGACCGACCTTCATATGGTGTCCAGTATCTCCTCCTCATTTGTTGGTCACATGACGTTATATTGAGGGATGGAGATGGACCTTCATATGGTGTCCAGTATCTCCTCCCCATTTGTTGGTCACATGACGTTATATTGAGGGATGGAGATGGACCTTCATATGGTGTACAGTATCTCCTCCCCATTGGTTGGTCACATGACGTTATATTGGGGAATGGAGATGGACCTTCATATGGTGTACAGTATCTCCTCCCCATTGGTTGGTCACATGACGTTATATTGGGGAATGGAGATGGACCTTCATATGGTGTACAGTATCTCCTCCCCATTGGTTGGTCACATGACGTTATATTGAGGAATGGAGATGGACCTTCATATGGTGTACAGTATCTCCTCCTCATTTGTTGGTCACATGACGTTATATTGAGGGATGGAGATGGACCTTCATATGGTGTACAGTATCTCCTCCTCATTTGTTGGTCACATGACGTTATA